GGGGAGGTGGGGGGGGGGGGGGATGAGTAAAATAAGTGATGGGGTGAAAAGTACGCTTATCCTAATGAGCACTGAGTAATGTACAGAATTGTTAAGTTGGTATACTGCACACCTGAAACTAATGTAATGCTATATGTTAACAAAACTGGAATTTAACAGTTAATAATAAATATTTTTTAAAATAAAGAAGGGCCACCTGGGTGGCTCAGTCGGTTAAGCGTCCAACTTCGGCTGAGGTCATGATCTCACAGTTTGTGAGTTTGAGCCCGGCATTGGGTTCTGTGCTGATGGCTCAGAGCCTGGAGCCTGCTTCGGATTCTGTGTCTCCCTCCCTCTCTGCCCCTCCTCTGCTGGCGCTCTGTCTCTCTGAAAAATAAACAAAAAAAAATGTTTTTAAATAAAAAAAAAAATAAACAGCATGGGTTTAGACCTTCTAGGTGCAAAGTTGTTCACCCTGCCCATCCACCTCTCCGCCCTTTCACTCTCAGTTCCAGCAGTAACTTCCCTTTATATCTTTTGCAGAAACCACTTCCTCAAAGACGACCAGAGACACGGAAGAGGTGAGTAGAAGTTGAGTCTTGGAACCCAGATAACAAGTATCCACAAAGCACAAAATTAGCATGTGGGTGTGGATACCGTATACCATATGTGTGCTAGACATTGTATATCATACATATATGTGTCATATATATTTCATATTACATGTTAAGGTATATAATATATTTTAATATAGTTTTTAATTATAATAGAAATTAATTATGATATAATAGTATGATATTATATGTAATTTATATTATGTATAACTGAAATATGCATATGGGTTGCCGTGTTTATTGCTGTACGTACATTCCTATGTATCTCATGGCAGAGTTAGATAGAGTGTGTGTGTCCATATGGATGTGTGTGTGTGTCTGTGTGTGTATACTGCCCCCGAAAGATAGGATCTATCCCAGGCCGAGAAAGGTGGACTAAATGAAACTGTACAGAGACCCAAATATCCAATAGCTTTAAAAAGATGGAGCTTTATTGCTTTCTTTATTTAAATGTTTTTTTTTTATTTTTGAGAGAGAGACACAGAGGTGAGTGGGGGAGGGGCAGAGAGAGAGGGAGACACAGAATCTGAAACAGGCTCCGGGCTCTGAGCTCTCAGCACAGAGCCCGATGCAGGGCTCGAACCCACACACCGCGTGATCATG